AGTGAAGTTAAGCTAACTCGAGTTTAAAGCGTCTACACAGTACACGGGCCGCTTACTCGATTTAGAATTAACTCGAGTTGAGCATTAAACCTCGATGCGACGGCGAGTTAAGCACTAACTCGATTTAAAACGCTTACTCGATTAAGGCCCGTGTAGACCCTTAACATCGTGTAGATGGAGGCTATATAACCGGAACAGCTTAGCATTGGACTGGCGTTCCGGTAACCGACTGTAGCCAAACAGGCGACGACCCGCACAAATCATAGCACACAATAGCTGGTTCAAATGCAAATTTGTCTTCGCACATTTGTAAACATAAACTCTGTTTAGTTGTATAAATTGCGTTTCTGTGCACTAACTTTATACTTTTCCAGTGTAAACGTGGAGAGGCCTACTAACTACTAATCCTCTTACAGAAACCAAAAGAATTTTCCCGTCTCGTTTGGCAATTTACAATAGTAATTATTGTGTTGTTGTTTCATGACCGCACGGCATGTTTGCCACGGAACGCTTCAAAAAGCAATAAAACAAAGAATCCTACTATTACTAAAGGCGTCTAAGCAAATTCCAAGAACAAAGTTGAGACAATTTAAAGCATGGCCTAGGCTTATTGGTTCAAAGATAGAGAACATGGTCCCAATAAAACCAAATATCATTTACGATCAATAAATAAATTACTAAATTATATCAATATAATAACGTTAGGTTAGGATAGCACAGGCATATTTTGTGTTTATTGGACCGTTGGCAACCAGGCATGAAACCAGGCATGTTCTCCTATCCTTGGGCCACTTTATTATTTTGTCAGCAAACGTTTTAACATCCAATATCCCTGTTTGGCGTACTCCATAGTTTATAGATTGTCCATTGCCTGTTCTTATCTTAATCCTTTAACTTTTAATGCTATAAATCATTAGCCGAAACTGACCCTTCTACAGTCCGACCCTTCCTTACCGGCCACGTAGGAACCTGGGCACACATCCGAGATGGATTTTTGGCTGAATGAGAGATGCTCAAAACACAGCATTTCTATGCAGTTTCTAGGTAGGGCTTGCATGAGAGAGGTGCTATGTCCTAGGTAACTGCCGAAGCGTACCCTGTACTATCAATATCGGACTGTTACTTGCCTACTCCACTACCGATGGGAAGTTGTCCTACCGCCTACGTACCCCTAACCGCTAAACCCTAATCCTAACCCTAACCGCTAACCCTAACCTACGCTCTAGTACGACTATAATAGCCCGCGTACAGTTGCCGCTGGCTATAGAACCAGCACATTACGGAATGCTCGGAACCAACTAATTACTCCAGCCAGTGCAGCGGGAACTATGCTATTTCCGCACGTTGAGGTGGGCGGGTTGTGTTTGTTGTGGAACAAAAACCATCTGTTGATAATGTCAAAGTAATCAAATTAATAATAGTAATTGTCGTCTTATTAAAAATACGAATATACCAATCTTTTTTTGATCGTCTTTTACTTTGTGACTTGACAACAACAAGTTTTTGTCGCACACCAAACGCACAAACCCCGTTTCGATTTTCACGAAAATGTTTTCATATGTATTAAATTCAGTTGTGATGTATTTATTTTGGTAGCAAATATGTGTTGAAATGTAAATAAAGCTTATATTTATGCTTTTATAATTTATGCATGTTTCTTTTCTTATATTCACTGTTGATCTCTACAGTATAACTGTAAATTAATTGGCTAATGGTTGGCCCAACCATGTTTTTAACTTTTTTTTTTAGTCTTACTCTTATAGTCTTAGACTTAGTCGTAGACGTACACGGTACAGGAGTTAGACACGCTCAAAACACGAAATTAAACATTTGCTTAACACGAACAAAACACAGCTCTTCTTGAAGTCTAGCGAAGTCGAGCGAAACGAAGCGAACATGCCCCTGCTCTGTATTTCGTTTGCTCGGGCAGCAAAGGCAAGCAAAACGAAAAGAAGCTTCCTTTCAAGCTCGCGTTGATCAGACTCAAATGAAGCGCCGACTTTCATATCCCATTGATATCTATTTTATATCTAACACCCCCCTTGATATATATTTCATATCTAACCCCCCTTGATATATCTTTTATATGTATATATATCTTGATACGGTATCTCTTTTATATCACGATATTAATGACATTAAAGTTGGGAACGCTCCTAATGGAGCGTTCGCCCTACATGTTCACATTAATCATGGCTGTGCTATGTGAGTCGTGCATCTGTGTATTTTTATTTTTTTCCTAATTTGATGTCAGTCTTAAAATATTAAACTGTTATATATTATAGCTTTTATAAGCTTATTCTGATTTCTGTTAATATGTTGTTGAATTCGACTTTGAAACGTTATAATATATTTCGAAAGTGTATGTATTGCGAATATTTGGGCTCAGAACAACTAAATATAACATCAAGATCAAGATACTTGTAAACTATGTATGTGTTTTTAACTTGTAACCATGTCATTGAGTTTAGTCTTACTCTTATAGTCTTACTCTTTAGACTTAGTCGTAGACGTACACGGTACAGGAGTTAGACACGCTCAAAACACGAAATTAAACATTTGCTTGCCTTAGTCTACCTATATTATAATACTCAACTATCTCTACCTACGAAATCCTCTACCTATCATCTACCTATAACTCAATAAAATAAATCTAAGCGTGCGAGTTAATAGATATATACATACTCTGATACGCTCAAAACCCACCAAATTCAACATCAATCGTTCAAAAACAATTGCCAGCTCGCGATAATTGTTTACTAAGTAAGCCTCTAACAGACGTTGCTATACGGAAGTATCTAAATATGTATTATTATACTGTTATAATGAATATTAGAAATACATTGGTTAAAAATTGGCTCAAAAATGTGGTGGGTCCAAATTACCAAAGTGGGTCCAAATTACTAAAAGTGGGTCCGAATTGTTGGGTTCAAACTACGGTGGGTCCGAATTACTAGCTTCCAGCTTAACCTCGATCGACTGGCGAGGTTAACGCTTACTCGAGTTAAGGCCCCGTGTAGACGCTTAACTCGTGTAGATGAGGCTATATAACCGGACGCTTAGCCTTGGAGCTGGGCGTCCGGTAACCGGACGTGTAGCCACGGCGACGACCCGCACAAATCATAGCACAAATAGCTGGTGCAAACGCAACATGTCTTCGCACATTTGTAAACATACTTCTGTTTAGTGTATAAATTTGCGTTCTGTGGCACTAACGTTATACTGTGTTCCAGTGTAACTGTGTGGATGTAGGCCTACTACTAATCGTCTTACAGAAACAAAAGGAATGTTCCCGTCTCGTTTGGCAATTACAATAGTAATTTATTGTTTGTTTTGTTTCATGACCGCACGGCATGTTTGCCACGGAACGCTGTCAAAAAGCAATAAAAGCAAAGAACCTACTATTACTAAAGGCGCTAAGAAATTCCAAGAACCAAAGGTTGAGACATAAGTCATGGCCTTAGGCTTATTGGTTCAAGGATAGAGAACATGGGTCCCAATAAAACCAATATCATTTACATCAATATAAATTATAATATTATATCAATATAATACGTTAGGGTTAGGATTAGGCACAGGCATATTTGTGTTATTGGGACCTTGCAACCAGGCATGGAACCAGGCATGTTCTCTATCCTTGGGCCACTTTATTATGTTTGTCACAACACGTTTTAATCATCATGCAGTTATCCCTGTTGGCCGTACGTCATAGTTTATGATTTGGTCCATTGCTGTTCTTAATCTTATCCTTTAACTTTTAATGCTTTATAAATCATTAGTAATAGTATTGTCATTAGCCGAAACTGACCCTTCTACAGTCCGACCTCCTTTACCGGCCACGTAGGAACCGGCACCCATCCGGATATGGGATTTTGCTGGATATGAGAGATGCTCAAACACAGCATTTCTATGCAGTTCAGTAGGGCTGCATGAGAGGGTCTATGTCCCCCAGGTACTGCCGGAACGTACCCTGGTACTATCTAATATTCCGGACTGTACCTCGCCTACTCCACTAACGAGTCTGGGGAGTTGCCTACGCCTACTCCCTAACCCTAACCCTATACCCTAACCCTAACCCTAACCCTAACCCTAACCCTAACCTAGCTCTAGTACCGGTACTATATAGCCCGCGTACAGTTGCCGCTGGGCTATAGAACCAGCCATTACGAATGCTCGGAACCAACTAATTACTCCAGCCAGTCAGCGGGAACTATGTATTTCCGCACGTTGAGGGGTGGGCGGGTTGTGTTGGTTGTGGACAAAAACATTGTTGATAATTGTCAAGTAACAAATTAATAATAGTAATTTGTTCGTCTTTTATGACAAAACGAATATTACAATCTTTTTTGATCGCTTAATTTGTTACTTGACAACAACAATGTTTTTGTCCACAACCAACACAACCCGCCCACCCCTCCACGTGCGGAAATACATAGTTCGAGCTGCTGCAGCGCCGCTAGAAATGGCCGTTTGAAGTTCGCAAATCGAATGTTCGTTCACAAGAAATACCGCAAGTATACCATTGCAACGATAGTTAGAGGTTAAATTTTAGTAGCTGATATAACGACATATTCACTTTGGATAAGAGGCATTAATTGCCTACCACAGACGTTTTATAGGCGGGTATAAGCATGCTTAAGTTGGTCCCGCGCATCCCTAATGGCTCGTTCTATAGCCCAGCGGCAGTTAAGGATACTCTCCACCTTTTGCACGGGTATTGCTCTAGTGAAGATTAAACGTTTATTGGCGAATGAATCAAATCAATCACTTGTTTTATTTATAGAGGAGATATATCGCGGCTCACTACACATGTACGCTGGCAAGCAAAATGCTCTGACAGTTCACATGTACCGTTATATGGAGAAATGAGCATGTACACAGGTGGCACATAGTGTTAGCCATCGAATAAAGTTGAAAATAAAAAATCGGTAAAATTTTTCCTAAAACCTTGAGAGTATCCTTAATGTAAGCGGGCTATAGTTTTAGAGCTAACCCTAACCATATCAAATAGTTAACAGGGTACGTTCCGGCAGTACCCTGGGGGACATAGACCCTATGAGCTTCAGTAGGGTTTATGCATGTGATAATGTATTTACTCGTTGCTATGATTATTCGTAACAAACTGGCGTTTTATGGTTTATATGAAATGGAAATAAAATGAAATAAAACAGAAATTTTACCGGAGGCATAACGGACACGAGCAGACAACGCACGCACGCAAACACACGTACGGTTGGTACATCGCGCAAGTATTTTAGCGAGATTTTTAGGTGTAAATGAATGAAAAACAGAGAACATACACTGCGAGATCGCGGCCGGTTAATAGAGATTTGCGAATAACGGATGGCCGGATAAAGGAGGTCGGACTGTACTTCTATTCGCCTCTTTGCTGACGACGCAGTTCAGTTTGTCTGTAATAGTTAAATTGTTGAATGCTATATTCTTACAATTGTACTGCACAATTGCATAAGCACTCTTTGAATTGACAGCATGTGCATTAAATTAATCTTACCATTGTTGATTGATATGATTGTACCTGACTGTTATTATTTATGTTTTATTACCAGCCAAAAGAGGAAGATAGAACAGTGTTTGATAAGAAGCTTGTTGTACAAGAGCCTAATATAAAGGACATTGTGAAAGAATATACGTCAACCTGTAAAACTACAAAAAGTCAGGTTGGAGGGGCAACTCTAGGATTTGTTACCCCGGTACGTATAGACATTTATTATGAATTTATTAGGTAATCTATTTTATAATGAACTTATCTGTACTTAGCTGTACCAGTGTAGTCCCTTCGCTCCCGTCACAGGAACCCCCTTGTAGCGGGAGCAAAGGTGCTACACTGGTAGAGCTAATCTATACTGTAGTATAGTAATGAATATACTATACTAGTATGAACATATCTACAATATCAGGGGCAGATCCAGGATTTTTGAAAAGGGGTGTCCAGAAAGAAATAAAGGGCACTTTTTCCTGCTTAATTTTTCTGGTGTTTTAATAAGCTGCCGAAGGCAGCTTATGCGATGTGCCAAGGGCACGTCACCACTTAGGGGGGGGGGACCGCCCCCAAGATAATTTTTTTAAATTGGTGCATTCTGAGAGCATCTGAGCAGTAATTTTTATGTCTAGAATGCAAGATGGAATTCCAAATTTTCAGTAGAAAATTATCTTGAATTTTTTTAGGGCACTTTGAAATTAAAAGGGGGTCCGGACCCCTCAGACCCCCCTAGATCCGCCCCTGAATATTGTGTAGGTATGTTCATGATTTCATTATCTTCTATAGTAGACTGTGTGTGTAAGATATCGGATGTTCTCCTGATAGTGGCACAACCATGGATATGATGTTGCTCGTCAGTTTGGAGGGAAGTTTACCTACATATCACCAGTTTGGCTTCAACTGAAATTTAAAGGACATAACGATTTTGTCATTGCTGGAGGACATGACATTGATCAAGGTAAGGTGATTTATGAATCTGAAAAACATTCCAGTCATTATAAGCCAAATATTTAATACTAAAATATAAGAACAATAATAATAATAATAATAATAATAATAATATAATAATAATAACAAAAATTATGATAAAAATGTAACAAAACATTGTCTTTGGTATAGTACTTGAGCCCAACATCTTAAATTTAAAAAATAGTGGATGCTATGGGCATGTCAATATAGTGTGGTGATGTAGAAGCTTTGTTAGCCAATTATATGACATATATTTCCAAGATTATTTGAGATATAAAGAGGAGGATCACCGTATGTTTAATATATTATTTCATTTGTTTTAAAAGCTGTCGATGATAATTTGCTTAAAACGCCAATGGTGCCACTATTTGTGCTTCTCTGATAAAGTTATATGCGAATCCAGTTTTCAGCAATCCTAACATTTGGGTATTGTATATTAAAGTTTGTTGTTCAAAGAATTTTTGTGACATTATTATTTAATATTTATAAACCAGTCTGATTATTAAATTTGCACTTCTGTTTGGTGTTATAAGATTTGTAATTGCCGCAAATATTCGAACCGAAAATAACCGAACCGAAGTGTGAAAACCGAAAACCGAACCGAACCGTGAAGTTGTGATTCGTTGCACCCCTAATAAACAGTCATCTCGTCCTCTTTACATTTTCACGGAGAGAACATTTCCTGCAGGATTTCACGAGATATCTCTGGCGGGAGTAGGTAAGAACAAAGGCCAGAGTTATAATTCGAAACAGTGAACATTTATGTACACATAGATACCAAGATGGGAGCTGTTGGATGTGTTTTCGTTGTGACGTGTGAAATGAGCGAGCGTCGAGCGAATTTTTCAATCCCGCTTTCCTACCTGCTCTCTTATTCATGTTGTTTGTGCATGCGGCCCAGGGCGTTCAAGGATACAGATGATGTCCAGTACGGTGATTGGATAGGATGATGTTAGTTGATAGGATAGGACTGGACATCTTCTTTATCCTTGCGCCGCACAGGGCGGGCGTGCGGTGTACTTGTGTGTTGCAGATGAGCATTTGACCGGCATTTACAGGTGATTATAGGCGAAATAGAGATTTTCGAGTGAATTTGGACCCACGTAGTTTGGACCACACAACGCCACTTTTAGTACATTTGACCCACTTTGTAATTTGGACCACCACATTTTCTACCAATTTTTAACTGTTATATTTCTAATATTCATTATAACAGTATAATAATACCAGGATAATACATATTTACTTCCGTATAGCAACGTCTGTTAGAGGCTTATGACCTAGTATTAAGTTGTAAACAATTATCGCGAGCCGGCGTGTTTATATTTTGGATGTAATGTTATTGAGCTGTACGTAATAAATCATAGCCATAGGTAAAACTATGATGTAGGCCTACCTATTAACTCGATCGCTTAGATTTATTTTATTGAGTTGGACAATTGATTGGGACAATGCAGGGTACGCAGCGACATATCGTATAGTACCCCAAAGTACTTTCCGATATATCGAACCGTACCAGGGTACTAGTGATGTCCCGATGATCGATTATAATCGAAATCGATCGATTATAGTCTCAAATTCGATAATCGATTATGAAAACAAATAATCGATTATCAAAAATACAAAAAAAAAAACAAACACCATGAATCACCACTGTTAACATAGGTCCTGTCTGATTGCAGAGCGGTACTAGTGTACTTATATACATGGACAAATTGGACAGTGTCTTTGTTTTGGTTTGACACTGTCCCACAGATGTTATCCGTAGATGAGATTCTACTCTCCGCTATTGTTTGTTACATTGTGTTGGAGAGGATATTCCATTGCAGGACATTAACTTGGCTACACAGCCTACACTATTAGAACACAACAACTTACTTCCTATAATAAAGAACAAGTCTTGATCATTTTGTTTAAACTTTTAATGTTTTAATAAAGGCATTTAAACCATTTCG